CGTGCCCCGCGCCCGCGGCTCCGTCCCAGGGAGGAGGATTTACTCACCGAGGGCGCGGGCACGTTGTACAAAGCGAACTCACGGGAAAACGGGACGTGGCTCTTCAGACGGGCAAATCAACAGGTAAATGCTGACGGTCAGCTCCTGGGGAGGGATGAAAAAGCCCGCAGCAAACTGCCTGTTCAAAATATGTCTGTCTGTCTGAAAAATACTGTGCATTTACTTGTGCCCGGTTCCAGAACAAGTTAAAGCAAATGTGACCTTCCACCAAAGTACGTACCTGGGTTTTTTTCTGGTCTTTGTCAGCAGTTATATATTATTTATAAGTATCGATATCCTTAAAAGCTCATGAATATTGAAATTTGCATTAGCTCTTTCTACAAGCAGGCAGAAGTAGAGGCAGGTTTCTACAGATGCAAAACCCAATATTTTATCATGGATTTCTCGGTTTATGTATGAATTTCGCAAACAGCCGTTGGTTTTAGTAACCTGACATGCACGTCTGGGTTTTCTAACTGTGCTCTCCTGGCTCGTACGCAGAAATACTCCCCAGGGGCGCTCCACAGCTGCAGCAATGGTATAGTTAGGAGTTGAGCTATCTAATTTCTAAACTAATTCTCTGCCTTACATTCTTTGTTCAACTACAAACGAAATCTAAAGCATATATTCAGCATAAAAAAAGAAAACAGAAAGTTTGAGCTTGCCCCTTCTATCTGTTAACCTGAAGAAAACTTTATAGTTGAGATTTCCCAAATGTGGTTTTATTAAAACCTAAAGTTGTATCTGGCTTTTCTTCATTGAAAAAATAGATCTGTACATCCTTCTTTAATTACCAAGTACCTGAAGGTTATAAATTATTTTTTGCTTTACAAGTGTTTTTCACAGCACAAGCATGAGGTGCTAAGAGTAAAGTAAAAATTGATGAATTCAGTCAAATGTAAGAAAATACAAGGTTATCCTTGGTTAGAAGAGAGATCAACTGTGCTTTTAAATTTCACTGCAAATTAGTAGCAACAGCACACATCTCAAAGGATCCAGTGACAGTAGACACCGAGCAGCAAGCTGCTGAATGATTCTCATGACCGGTTATTGACTCGGGGCTGTACTTCTGTACAGAGCACTTTTTAAACCATGCAGTCCGGGGAATTCATGCATTGCATTATGATCTGTAGTCCTTCTTGCTGTAGGGCTTATTTCCCAGAATATTATCTATTTCGTTTACAATATGGGATGTCATCTTTGGAAGGACCTAGGGGTAGGAGAAAACCGATGTTTAATCAAGCTTCCCTTAAAAAATTTAAATCTAGGATTTTTATCAGATAATGTTTCCTGTGGGTTTGCGTGTGACAGATACTTAAGCATTCAGCTAATACCTGTCTCCCTTAAAGGAAAAACTACTGCAGTCTCTTGATCCCACGAGAGAATCGCAGAAGCGCTGCTAAACTGCACCGGCACCCTGTCGCTCGGCTGCGCTGGGGAGCGAGCTGCTGGCAGGGGCGCCAGCGGCAGCTCTGGTCACGCCAGGCGGCAGACCACAACTACTCAGGGGGGTGCAGGTGACCTGTGCCCCGCGGGAGACGGCGCGGAGTATATCACAGCAGGTCCTGGAGTCGGGGCGCTCGCTTTTTCAGGTGCATTAAACCTGCTGCTGCCCCCCTCTCGGTGCTGGGTACGGCCCTAACCACCACGAGTGGTGGCGAGCCGTGGCGATGCACCGTAGGTTTGCCTAGTTAACCTGCGTAGCTAGAACTGGAAGATGCCAGAAATAAAATACAAAGCATTAAAACTCCGTGAAGAGCAGGGGGGCCGCTAATCTCGAGGTGTGCTGGTGTTAGCCCCGCAGGGAGCTGGGCAGCAGCTAACCCCCCCCACCTCTGCTGAGGTGCCACCACCACCTGCACTTGCCTGTATGGCTCCGAGGTTCTCTATCAGCTGCTCCGGGTTGGAAGATCCGAGAAGAACGGAGCTCACCCCCTCGTTTCTCAGGCACCACGCTGGGAATAAAGTCACAAGACGGTCAGGAACACAGGCTTCACGGCACGGCACTGCTCCAGACCCTAGTGCTTGTCAGAGCTTCTACCTCTACTTGAAAAGTAATGACAATTTATTGGTCTCAACCTTCTCTTTATTCCACCAGCACGACCAGGGAGATGATGGGTGGGTCAGATAGCAAACCTCATGGCAGATCTTCCAGCAACCCGTCCGACCCTGGCCCCTGCCCCAGCCGCTGCCTTAATTGCTGGGTTTGGGTTTTCCCTGTCACAAATCACAAGGATTCACCCCTCGGCTATTCGAACCATCGTTACAGATGTGGGGTTAACTTTCAGCCTTGGCTCTCAGCAGTGCAAAGATCATTATTAAATAAAACCCCCCAATAACCTCTCTTTAAAAAGCAGCAGCCTCTTGTGTCTGCCAGCCCAGCGTGCCGACCAGCTGACGGCTTCCACCCGGGGAGGGACCGTTCAGATGGACGGGCAGGTCGGGGTGGGACCCCTGAGGGTGTCCCGAGCTACGCTAGCCCTCTTCTCAGTCAAAGCCTGATGATGATGCCAGAAACAATCTTATTTTCAGTAAATTTTAATTTTTCCCCTTAAAAAAAAAAAAAAAAAGTTATTTTTCTGTGAGGCTAACGGACCAGGGGTTATTCCAAGAGCACTACATGGCATTTTAACACCCTACAGCGTGTTTTGTTTTGTTCTTTTCCCGCCTTCCTTGAAACGTGTCAGCCTTGTCCTAACGAGGCGTTGCCCTGCCCGCCCTCGGTCTTTCTGTGCTTCTGGCATCCTGTTCCATAGCAAATAACCATTTGGGTGCTTCAGATAATCAATCGGTCTGCACACCCTGCGGGCACAAAGCCATCTTTCCAAAGTCAGACGCATCCTATTCGCGAGCCGACGCATCTTTTCCCGCCTCGCCGCTTCCCGACCAACCGCTGCCGCTTCGCCGGGAGCCCCGACGAAAGGCGGGTGGGTACGAGGTCTCGCCTCCGCTCGTCTCCCGACAGCCCGTAAGGCACGAACCTCCCCGCCCGCGGCAGGTCCTGCGCTCGCGACCCCGGGAGGCGCGGGGACAGCCCTCTCCGCCCCGGCACCTACCGACGGCCAGCTGCGGCAGCGTGCAGCCCAGGCGCTCGGCGATGGGCGACAGGTCCTTCAGCTTCCCCTGCTGCTTTCTGCCTTCCTCGCTCACGATCTTCTCTTTCAGCCACTGGTAGCACTGGGTTGGAACGACACGGCAATCGACGGTTAGCTTTGGTCTTCCACAGGGGGAAGTTTTAAGGCTCTTTAAAAGCCACACCCAGCCCAGGAGGTGATGGGTAGCGATAACAGCGCTTTTCTACCCAAAGCAATTGCGACAGGACCAGGATGTCTCCTGTGAGACCCTACGTCTGTATCTCTCTGGCTTTATGCAGCTGATGGACTCTGTCCAGAACCTTCTCCGTTTGGGACCACTGGATCCCATCACAGAGCAGAAAAAAAAGTGAAATACCAGTCAACTTGAGAAGATTTTGACACAGACACCTCCCCCCACCCCCCCAAAAAAAAAAATTGTTAGAGAACATCTTGTCCAAGCCTTACTATGACTGTTCAAGGTTAGAAAATTAATTAAACAAAGCTGAGATTTTTCTCCCAGCTCCAGATTTGAAACTTTGCTCTGCTTCACTCTCAATTTAATTTGGATCCCTCTCTGCAATGCTACCCTGCTTGGCCAGATTTTACCAAATATTACTAATATATTTTATTTTGTAAAAAAGTCCCAAATGCAATGAAATACCACGTTTGAAAACGCTGCCCTTCGCAAGCAAGCGAGGGTAGACCGCATCTTTCCTTTAAAAAGCACCAAGCTGAGCAAAAACCAGCACAGGGATGTACATCAGCCCGCTGGCACTTGTCAGGCGGTGCTGGCTTTTGCCCATCAGCTGATACAGAGGCTCAAATACTGTTTCGGTTGGGTTTTTTCCCAAATCTGTGGCATTTTAGCGCTCTGCCATTTTTCAAACCATTAAATAACATGCCTGCCACAGGCACGATGTGGGAGGAGACCCCATAACCCCCCATGAGAATAAAAATCAGGATAATGGTGGGAGAAACCAAGCGCTGTGGCGACACCGCAAGGCTAAAACCTGTCAGAGAGGGCAAAGGACAGGCTCGCCGAGGACCCACGGGTTTCACGGGGTGCTGGGGGGCTCCCTGCCCGTGGGGCTCCCTGGAGGGAGCTCACCCCACGCACTCGCTGCCTGGTAGGCTGGTGCCCAGGAAAGGGTGGGCAGAAAAACAACCCCCACGTCTGTTTTCCCTACTCCACGTGGTTTAAAAAGGTTTGAAGTCACAGCAGCTGGACCGACGCCAGCGGGAAGCATCCAGCCCAACGGCAAACCCGGGCTCGTGCCTTCTCCTTGACCGTGTCTGGTCAGTGTAAGGCTGGTGACAGCATCCTTCAGCAGCCCCCCAGAGCCCGGCTCGTCGCATGCTGCCCCACCACCAGCTTGCTGTGGGGGGGAACCCCCGTGTCTTTGTCACCCAGATTCTCCTGTCCTTTGGAGCGCGGTTGCCGGAGAAACCGAGCTGTTCTATCGATGCAGCAGCACACGGGCCAGCCTTCTCCTGAGGGATCTGGTTTCCCTTTGCTGTTTCCCTGCCCTCCCAAAAGCAGCACATCTGCTTTTCTCACACGTGCAGCCACCACCAAAAAATACCTTGAGCGCCGCCCTCGAGCTTTCAGGGACCCCGTTGCCGTATTTCCCTGAGATGATCCCGCAGGCTAGTGGAGACCACGTCATTGCTCCGACCCCTGCAGAGCAAACAGAGAAGAGGTTTTAGGGGATTTTTTGATACAGAGTTGTATCAAAAATAGCACTTTCAGTTAAAAAAAAATGAAAGCAAAACAATTGCTGCTTGTTTCCATTGCTGCTGGCGGTTCAGGAGTCGTGCAAGGAGGCGTCAGGGTGTTCTGATGCAGGGGAGAGGTGGCACCTGCATGATCCACATCCAAGAGTTAAGCAGCAGCCATGGCAATTAACACCTATTTCTATCAGAGGCACAGTAAGCTGTTTTTTCTTTCAGGTCGTTACATGGATACTTGTCTGTCCCCTCCAGCTCCAGGGAAGGGGAGCGCTCTTCCCACCTAGAGCCCCAGGTCAGCCTGCCCTGTATTTCTTTCTGCAAATTAAATAGCCGAAAGGCGCCGCAGTCTCAGTCTTTACCTATTTTGTGGTATAATTCCGGCAGTTGAACCTCCACTTTCTCTCTTTGGAAAAGGTGGTACTCAGCTTGTTCACACACGGGCGGTATCATGTTAAACTGCCTGGCTACGGAGTAGGCTTCCTGCAGAGAAGGAATCGGTAGATAAAATACTTCGTTAAGCAAAAGCATCTTGTGGGACCTCCCAGCCAACCCTCCTCGAGCGCACAGGAGCCGACAAACTCCAGTTTTACTGTCTCTTCGCAAGGGCACCCGCGTCCCCGTGAACGCAGCCATGAAACACGGCCCCGGCCCCGCGCCCACCGCAGCGGGGCACGCGCCCACCTTCTGCCTCCCCCAGCCCGAAGCTGCCGCCGCAGCACCAGCTCAGCGGCGAGCCGAAGGAGTTTCCACCCGAGGTGGTTGGAGCTGAGCTTGTTTATTGTGGTTTATCCACCGCAAGGAGCAGGGACCAGCAGGACGCTCCTGGCATCTCTCAGAGTCGGAGACTGGGTTGGGTTGGGAGGGACCTTTAGAGGTCATGTCCTCCCGCCCCCCTGCGGTGAGCAGGGACATCTTTAGGAATTACCAGGTGTCAACACTTCCCTAAAAACCGACCTTACCATGATCTCCATTGCGCTCCAGCGTGACGTGCCCCAGTACATCGCCATGCCTTGATTTATCACGTGCGTCATCGCTCGGACAATTTCTAAAGGAAGGAAAAAAAAAAGGACTACGAGAGCTGCACGGGGATCAATTTTTCAGCGCCAAACCTTCCCAAAGCCACTTATGAATACCAAGTACACTGACAAGCCTGAGCACCTTTGTGTTAAACACCAGCCCTGCTGTGTTCTCATGTTCGAGCATGGGTGAAAAAGCATTGACAGCATGAACGTAAAGACATTTATCCTGCAGTTCTTTAAAAACTGCTTTTACCAACTGGCTATTGCCTACCACTGCCTTATGATATTTTTTTTTTTTTAAATTAACACAAGAGGGCAGCACAGCTGAAAAAGAAAAGATAAATTAAATATATTTTAGAATTTGTTTACTAAAAGCACGTATCCGGTCCTGCGTCTTTTTACTTCAGAACGTCGGGACGCTGGGGATAAAGCTGCAGAACCGGACGGCTGACCCCCGCTCTGCCGAGGGCCCTGCAGCCCACGGGAGGAGCGGGAGGCACCTCTGCAAAACCCGGCGTGGGCAGCAGTCCCACGGTCCTCGTTTGCTTTTGGGAAGACGGAAGCCTGCGAGGCCGCACGCGCCAGGGCAGGATCTTTAATTTCTGCTGCTGAGCAGCGCTACCTTCTTCTGGGGGGGGGAAAAAACCCATCATAAACTTTAGTTTGCAAGAAAAGGAGAAAAAAATTGTCTGTCCCTTCTGGTTGCCTGGGAGGTTACAGAGCCTGGCAGGATGCCTTGCTAGTTCTATAAAGAAAACAGCCCCTGCTGACTGTTTGCAACTCATTTTTAAGCCTGATTTCTCCCCGGGAGCAGCCTGCTGGGTCTGCAGTGCTGCAGGGGACCCAGGCAGTGGCCACTGCATCGCTGCAGAGGAGGAGGAGGAGGAGGAGCTGGGGGCTGAGCGGGGTCCCCAGGGCAGGAGGGTCTGGGAACCGGTGGGGTCTGCAGCCCTGACGTGCTCCACCGCCACCGCGAAATTCTGACCCATCAAAGCCCAAGGGAACAGCTCCGGTGGGACGCAGGGCTGCGCAGGGGAGCCCTGTGGGTTTATTGCAGCCCTGGGCGCGGCTGCTGCTACTCGGACAATGACTCCGGGCATCGTGTCTCAAGAGCAAGAGGAGCTGCCTTTTATGTCATGAGGATTCTCGTCCTATTTATGGAAAGAAAGAAAAAAAAAAAAAAGAAAGGAGCTTGGCAGAGGGGAGATTACACTGCCAATCTTGACGTTATTGTGAGATCTCTTCTGCAGGCGGCGACAAGCAGCTAAAGATGGTGAAGTCTCCATTTATAACCTCGGGGGGCTGTACAAGAGACACGGTGCCTCTTGCGCTGGGCTTCTGCCTTTCCGCTGAAAAGGGAGATGTCCTCTGGAAGGAAACAGTGGCTCGAGGAGTTTTTTTCCCCTGATGAAAAGTAGAGCTCAAATGCCAGATATTTTCTTCCTTTTTTTTTTTCCCCTTCTTGGCCAAAGCCACACTTTTCTCTATTTCTATGCATTTTATTCTCGGGCGTGTTCTGGTCCAACAAAACGCCCCGTTATCAAGCAGCTACCCGGCTACCCGCGGGCGTGCTGCGTGCGACAGGCAGCTGTACGGCAATCCCTCCCTCCTCACCAGCGCTGGCTGCTCACCGGGCTTAGTTTTCTATTTTTGCTGCACTACCATTTAGGAATTCTGATAAGCATCCCATCATACGCCTCTTACACACTTCTGTCCGTGGCTGTTTTCATTTCTCCCACCTCTACTCCTTTCAAGAAAAACTGAAGTCAACTCAGAAAATACATATATATATATATATATAATCTTCTTGTTTACCAGAGAGTGCTCCCATGGGCATGGCGATGGGATGCTTTGTGAAGAGCACATGCCTGGATCGCTCGGTCTGCCAGCTGGATGGCACAAATGGCGTCACTTAAGAAGGCGAGATTATTTTTTTTTATTTAAATATAAACGAATGTTTCAAAATCCAGAAAACAGCCTCCAGCAGCAAAATAATCATCTCAAAGTAGCTTAAAGTTCCCTGGTAGGAACCACGTCACCTTCCCTCCCTGCTCTCCAGGGCTGCGGGCTGGCCGTGCAGCGGTCCCTCAGCACCATGACAACAGGGGGGGGTCTCACCAGGGGACCCCGGGGACCCTCCTTCCCTGGAGCCGGAGCTGCCCTGCTCGTCTGCTGGAAGAGCTGCTCGGGATGACAAAAAGCATCTGCTGGCACCGCTCGGGGATCAGATCTCCAGCCTGGCTAACGAGGCGTGAAACCTGCCGAGAGAAGCGCGGATCCTTCCCGTCACCCGTCTCGGGGGGGACCGCGCGATGGCAGAGCCGCCTGGGTGCCAGGGGCAGGATCACCCCCCCATGGATGG